GCCACAGCCATGTTGGTGAAAGCAGCAGATAAACTAACCTTAGAAAGCATTTAACTGTGTGAGTACCACACTCAGTCCTAACCTTAATGGATCAAACAGGACACCACTGGCTGTCTAATCCAAGAATGACTCAATACCAAGGGCTCCCGTGCAAGAACTCTCGCATAACTCTAGAGACTGTAAAGACCCTCAACCCAGTCATCCTGCTTCCCACAGAACCAGGGGCCCCATTCCATGACTGCATAGAAACAAAATGCTCTCCAGCTGGAAGGATCTTACAGACTGCCCCCTCTAGGACCCAGATGTAGAATACTTCACTGATGGGAGCAGCTTCATAGAGGCAAGAAATCAGCATGCTGGGTATGCAGTAGTAACTTCGGACTCACTAATAAAAGCCCAATGCTTGCCAACAGGAACATCAGCCCAGAGAGCAGAATAGCTTTAACCAGATCATTGTTACTGACAAAGTGCAAAAGAGCCAACAGATACGCTGACTCAAAATGTGCATTTGCCAGCCTGCATGTGCAAAGGAGCATTGATAAAGAAAGAAGGCTCTTAACAGCCCAGGGCACAAAGTATCCAGAAGAAAGTTTCCAGTTTTTAGATGCAGTATAGGCACCAAAAGAAGTAGCCGTTATATGCAGTAAAGGCACCAAAAGAAGTAGCTGTTAAACACTGTAAAGACCACCAGAAAGCAGCAACACCGGAAGCTAAAGGAAATAGAAAACCAGACAAGGAGGCCAAGCGGGCAGCCCTGGGTGGTACCCTACCACCCACATAGAGGCTAGGAAGGCTGCCTGTGCCATGAGCCTCCTATCGGAGGCACTGTGTTCGGAGACTCCAAATGACTCTCCAAATGAGAAAGCCTGGTTTGCTCAGGAAGCTGGAAACTATGCTAAACAAGGATGGTGGAAGTTTGCAAATGGGAGGTTAGCCATTCCCGAAGTAATAGCGCTTACATTTGTAAAGCAAATCCACCAAGGAACTCATATAGGAAAGATAGCATTAGACACGCTGTTCAGGTGCCGCTTCTATGTGTCACTGCTCACTTGACTGCTCACTCCCGAGCTGTTTGTGAGCAATGCTCAACCCACAGCAGGGGCCAACCTGACCCCCAGGAATTCAAGAAGTAAAGGCAGCACCTTGTGAAAATTTGCTTATAGATTTTACAGGGCTGCCCTGGGCAGGAGGCTATCTCTATATGTTAGTGTTTGTCTGTACCTACTCAGGTTAGGTAAAGGCTTTCCCCACCAGGACAGAAAAAGCACAAGAAGTTACTAGAATATTACTAAAACATATTATTCACAGATTTAGGCTGCCTTCAACTATAAGATCCAATGGCCCAGCATTTGTCGCTGAAATTGTTTAAGACCTAACATGGCTATTAAAAATAAACCAGAAACAGCCTACTGCCTATCACCCACAGAGTTCAAGAAAGATTGAGTGTATGACTCAAATGCTCAACGAGCTGTTAAAGAAATTCTGCCAGGAGACCCATATGCGGTGGGATCAGGTGTTGCCCATTGTCCTCCTCCGAGTCAGGTATACACCCACCAAACAAACTGGGTATTTACCCTATGAAATTTTGTTCAGCCAGCCACCCCCAATTAAAGGAGAATTAACCCTCAGAAAGCAAATGCAGGCCTTAGGCATGACTATGCAGGAAATACAAGGTTAAGTTCAAGAAAAATTACTCATGAGTCTAATAGATCCCTTGTATCCCTTTAAACCCGGGAATTCAGTCTAGGTCAGAAAGTGGAACCTAACCACATTAAGGCCAATGTGGGATGGGCCCCACATTGTAATGTAGTCCATCCAACTGCTGTTAAAAGTTGTAGGCATCAGACTGTGGATCCACCACAGCTGGCTAAAGCCAGTAGCAGCCCAGGAGAAGTGGGCCAGCAAGCAGGCTCCAAAGCACCCAACCAGGCTGATCCTGCAACGAGGCCAAGCTGCCAGCAGGAACGACAGCCCTGCTCTAGTCACACAATTGGAGGCTGACTAGTCCATGCACGGCTGAAGCTTGAGGAGTCATCAAAAGTAAATGTGGATCAAAATTGTAACCCTAATTGCTATCTTAGTATTGCTAACTATTCTATTACTGTGTTGTCATCTTTGCCAACCTGTATGTCCAAGGAAAGATTAAAAAGATTCATCCTGTTCCTGCATAGTGGTATAAAAATGTTAATTTTTACTTTATTATTGTTAACTCCAACATCTGTACAAAAGGAAAGGCAACTGGTAGAAGAATGTACTTACTGCCTGAGGACTACTTAGATTAAAAATACAGTAGTTAAAACCTGCTGTATCAAACATATTATCAGTGTACAAGGACTCAGAGGCTGGTACTTACAATCAAACAACTTATTCAGTTTGTGACCCAGGCAATGAGCAACCTTATGTATGTAACAATCCCAAGTTCATGACTGGAACTTGGTTTTATGTCTGAGATAAGTCAGTAGAAGGGGATCTTCTAAGCCAAACTAAAGTCCCCTTTTCCCCCTTTTTAGATTAAAGAAATATAAATCTATACTTCAATTTCTGTCACACAACATTCACAAGGACAACCTGGTCCAGTAAAGTCAGCAATAATGTAGGCTATGACATTTACTGTTATAGACCTGATTGTCCACCTTCTACTTGTTCAGAGAGATACTGCTGGAATTGCCAAACACAGACCCATATCCGAACTGCCAAGAAACCACCACCAAAGGAGGTCATGTTTATGAAAATATTAAACTAAATTCTAAGGCAGACAACTGCCATCTTGTAATTCTTACAATCCTCGAACCAAACCTGTCTATATGGATCACAGGCTATTGTATCACAATGCATTTAAGTGATAGGAAAACAATTATCTTACATATTACTAAAAAAACTCTTGAACCATCTTGTTCAGCAACATTTCCGAGTTTTCAAGTCATTTTATGAAAACTATAAAAAGACTAAGAGCTACTTGAATCCCCTCCAAGAGCCAGTAACTTGTTCGTGCAGCTGGCTGAGAGTAGAGCTACACTAGGTGTTTCTTCTTGTTTTGTCTGTGGAGGTACTAACATAGAAGATCAGTGGCCATGGGAAGTAAAGGAAATAATGCCTCAAGAAAATGTTACCTTAATCCTCACCTCCCCCAAGCCAATGCCCAAGTGCTTAAGCATTTGGCTCTTACAGACTTCCACTGTCACTAAGTACTACTGCATTGCCTGCTGAGGAAACACTTTCACCAACCCAGTAGAACTGGCTTGTTTAAGGCAGCAATATTATAATAAAACAGTAAGAAAAACCTTATAGCAGGGCAAAAACAAGCAAGGTAAAAATACTTCCAAGTCACCATGCTATAAAACATTCTCTCACTTCCCAGCTTTAAACCACTCCTGGTATCAACTTGAAGCACCCACTAGTGGGCAGGCACTTCATGGCCTGTAGTGGATTTGCAGGCAGTGAGCCTATCGGCAGTTACCAGTCACATGGACAGAAGCCTGCATACTAAAGACAATCTCCCTTTACAGCTAGGAGAAACTCTAGGATACCCTGTTTATGATGAAGTGAAAAATAAAAGTAAAAGAACTGTAGACATCAGAGGAGGTATAAAAATAGGAAACTGGAAAGACACTGATTGGCCCCCTAAAAAAATTATTCAGTACTATAGGCCAGCTGCCTAGGCACAGAATAGGTCATAAGGTTACCAAACTCCTATTTATATACTCAACTGCATTTTAAAGCTACAAGCAGTGCTTGAAATCATTACTGACAAAACTGCACAGGCTTTAGATCTGCTGGCTGTGCAATCCACAAAAATAAGAAATGCTGTTTACCAGAACAGGCTAGCTTTAGATTATCTCCTTGCCCCAAAAAGGAGGTATATGTGGAAAGTTTAACTTAACTAATTGTGTTTAAAAATTGATGAAAATAAAAAATCTGTCACTGAAATAACTGCAAAGATGAGAAAGCTGACCCATGTCCCAGTTCAAACTTGGGAAACCTGGATGGTCACTAGACTCCCTCTTTGGAGAATGGTTCTCATCTTTTGGGGGATTTAAAACATTGATAGGAAAGTTCATGCTTATTCTAAGTAGGTGCTTAATCCTTCCATGTCTCTACCTCTCTTGCTGAGAAGCATAGAATCAACAATAGAAGCAGTGGTAGCCAGGCATACCACCATCCAAATAATGGCCTTACCTAAGTATCAACCTGTACCTCAGAAAGAGAATCTATCACTGCCTGGTGAGCTGCCTGGAAGCAATAGGCTCATTGAACTTATGTAAATCTTGCCTTAAGTTTAAACCAAAACGAACCAGAGTGACTAGGTAAAACAGATTAGATTAACTCAGCAGCACCTCAATAAACAGAATGTTAAAGTAATCCATGTTTGCACAAGCAAGTAATTTAAAGGTGTATCAAGTTAAAGCTCTCAAAAGCTTGCAATCAGCTTTGAAAAATTCTATCTAAACTTCCTCGTCAGGACCACCATGGCATCCTATCTAGACCCAGAAGATGGCTGGCTAGCCAATGATGGGTAAGATTCCTCAAGGGAGGAAAAACCTAAGACAGAGTCACACAAGAACATAAAGGCCAGGGCAAAAAAAAAAAAAAAAGGCCCTGGCACTACACTTGACTGGAGGTACTAAAGCAAGGCATCCACGGAGCATGCCTACCCTCTATTAGTCGTCCCAAAATAAAAGAAAGTAAAACTCTGGCCTAAAGAATCAAGATGCAACCTACATAGAAGGCAATTAAAATATCTGTCCTACCCAGGTAACTCTCTCCTACATATAATTTAGTACTATCTTCAAAGAGGAGGCCATTATGGTGGTGTGCTGTATTGAAAGTATTACTTATATAGAGAATGCACCAAAGCGGGGGATGAAGAGGGAAAAAATAATAAAACAACATAATATAAAAATAAAATTAGATGCAAGTAGAAGATGGCCGATTAGGAGCAGCTCTGGATTGCAGCTCCCAGCGAGAGCTCTGAGGGAGAATGGACACCGCATTTCCAGATGGATTTTTTATTGCCCACAGACCAGGAGATTCCCAGGTGGAGGAGTGCCATGGGTGACTAGTGCGGCTGTTTCCGCCTGCACGACAGGTCTCCGCAAAAAAACCTCACACGGGTCCGGGTGCCGTTTCAGCTGACGACTGGAGTGCCAGGGAGACAGAGTCAACCATTCAACTGATAAAAAGGGGACTGAAACAGGGATCCAGGTCAGGAGGTTCCCAGGTGAAAAAGCGCCACAAGTCTCCAGCGTGGCTGTTTCAGCCGGTGCAGTGGGTCTCCGCACAGGAAATCACACAGTTCCAGGCGCCTTTTCAACAGGCGACTGGAATGCCTGGGAGACAGAGTCGCCCATTCAATTGATAAAAAGGGGACTGAAACAAGGAGCCAGGCCAACTGAAACAAGGAGCCAGGCCAGGAGATTCATGGGCAAAAAAGCACCCCGAGTCTCCAGCACCCGGCGCAGTGGGTCTCCAAACAAAATCTCTCAAAAATCCAGGTGTCTTTTCAACTGGTGACTAGAACGCCTGGGAGACAGAATCACCCATTCAACTAAAAAAAAGGGGAGTGAAACAGGGAGCCAGGCCAGGAGATTCCTGGGCAAAAACGTGCCATGAGTCTCCAGCACAGCTGTTTCAGCCAGCACGGTTGTTTCATCCAGTGCAGCAGGTCTCCACACAAGAAATCACATACATCTGGGTGCTGTTTCAACTGGTGACTGGAACGCCTGGGAGACAAAGTCACCCGTTCAACTGGAAAAAAAGGGGTCTGAGGCAGGGAGCCAGATGATCAGGCTCGGCTGGTCCCACTCCCACAAAACCCAGCAATCTGAAACGCTCTGGATTGAGAGTTTCACAGCAAGCACAGCTGAACCCGGGACGGTCCAGCTCTGCGGGGGAGGGGCGTCTGCCATTACCCAGCCAGTCCACCTCTACCGAGGCGGTCCGCCATTGCCGAGGCAGCTTGCCATTACAGAGAGAGTCCATCATTAAAGAGGCGGGCCGCCATTGCCGAGGCAGTTCTAACTATATCCCCTATAAACAGGACTGCAGGGAAGTTAACACAACAGCTGGGTGGAGCCCACAGCAGCTCAGCAACACCTCTGCTGGCAGACTGTGACTAGGCTGCCTCCTAGCTGGGCAGGGCAGCCCTGAAAAAAGGCAGCAGCAGGACAGAAACTTATAAATAAAGCCCAACCTTCCCAGGACAGAGAACCTGGGGAAAAAAAGGCAGCTTTGAGTTCTGCTGCAGCAGACTTAAACTTACCTGCCCAGCAGCTCTGAACAGAGCTCACAGCTCAGCACTTGAGCTCATATAAAGGACACACTGTCTCCTCAAGCAATTCGCTGACCCCCGTATATCCAGAGTCACCTCATAATGGAGAGCTCAGACTGACAACTAGCAGGTATCCTTCTGGGACAAAGATAACAAAAGAAGAAACTGGTAGCAACCCTTACTGTTCTGTAGCTGCTGCAGGTGATCTCCAGGCAAGCAGGGTCTGGAGTGGACCTCCAGCAGTCCTACAGCAGAGGGGCCTGACTGTTAGAAGGAAAACTAAGAAGCAGAAAGAAATAGCTTCATCAGCAACAAACTGGACATCCACTCAGGGACCCCATCTGAAAATCACCAACTACAAAGACCACAGGTAAATAAATCCACAAAGATGGGAAGAAACCAGAGCAAAAAGTATGAAAACACCAAAAACCAGAAAGCCTCTCCTCCTCCAAGGGATCACAACACGTCACCAGTAAAGGAACAAGGCTGGATGGACAATGAGTCTTATGAATTTACAGAAAAAAGCTTCAGAAGGTGGGTAATAAGAAACTTCGCTTAGCTAAAAGAACATGTTCTAACCCAATGCAAAGAAACTAAGAACCTTTAAAAAAGATGTGACAAAATGCTAACAAGAATAAACAGCTTGGAGAGGAATATAAATGAATTGATGGAGCTGAAAAACACAAGAACGTCACGAAGCATACACAAGTTTCAATAGCTGAATTGACCAAGCAGAAGAAAGGATATCAGAAGTCGAAGATCAACTCAATGAAATAAAACAAGAAGGCACGATTAGAGAAAAAAGAGTAAAAAGAAACTAACAAAGCCTCCAAGAAATATGGGATTACGTGAAAAGACCTAATCTACGTTTGACAGGTCTACCTGAATGTGATGGAGAGAATGAATCCAAGCTGGAAAATACTCTTCAGGATATTATCCAGGAAAACTTCCCCAACCTAGCAAAGCAGGCCAATATTCAAGCTCAGTAAATACAGAGAACACCACAAAGATATTCTTCAAGAAAAGCAATCCCAAGGCACATAATCGTCGGATTCACCAGGGTTGAAATGAGGAGAAAATGCTAAGGGCAGCCAGAGAGAAATGTCAGGTTACCCACAAAGAGAAGCCCATCAGACCCACAGAGGGTCTCCCAAAAGAAATCCTACAAGCCAGAAGAGAGTGGGGAGGCTAATATTCAACATCCTTAAAGAAAAGAACTTTCAACCTAGAATTTCATATCCAGCCAAACTAAGTTTCATGAGCAAAGGAGAAATAAAATCCTTTAAGAACAAGCAAGTACTCAGAGATTTCATCACCACCAGGCCTGCTTTACAAGAGCTCCTAAAAGCACTAAATATAGAAAGGAACAACCAGTACCAGCCACTACAAAAACATACCAAATGATAAAGAGCATTGACACAATGAAGAAACTGCATCAAATAACAGGCAAAACAACCAGCTAGCATCAAAATGGCAGGATCAAATTCATACAGCATAACAATATTAACCGTAATGTAAATGGGCTAAATGCCCCAATCAAAAGGCCCAGACTGGCACAATGGATAAAAAGCCAAAACCCATCAGTGTGCTGTATCCAGGAAACCCATCTCACATGTGAGGATACACATAGGCTCAAAATAAAGGGATAGAGGAAGATTTACCAAGAAAATGGAGAGGGGGAAAAAAAAAAAAAAGCAGGAGTTGCAATCCTAGCCTCTGATAAAATAGACATTAAACCAACAAAGATCAAAAGAGACAAAGAAGGGCATTATAATAATCCTAAGTATATATGCACCCAATACAGGAGCACCCAGGTACATAAAGCAAGTTCTTAATGACTTACAAAGAGACTTAGACTCCCACACAATAATAGCAGGAGACTTTAACACTCCACTGTCAATATTAGACAGATCAACGAGACAGAAAATTAACAAGGATATCCAGGACTGGAACTCAGACCTGCACCAAGCAAACCTAATAGACATTTACAGAACTCATCACCCCAAATCCATAGAATATACATTCTTCTCAGCACCACATCACACCTACTCTAAAATTGACCACATCATCAGAAGTAAATCACTCCTCAGCAAATGCAAAAGAATGGAAATCATAACATTAACAGTCTCTCAGACCACAGTGCAATCAAGTTAGAACTCAGAATTCAGAAACTAACTCAGAACCACACAGCTTCATGGAAACTGAACAACTGGCTCTTGAATGTTGACTGGATAAACAATGAAATGAAGGCAGATGTAAAAATGTTTTGTGAAAACAACGAGAACGAAGACACAACATACCAGAATCTCTGGGACACATTTAAAGCAGTGTCTAGAGGAAAATATATAGCAATAAATGCCCATACGAAAAGGAAGGAGAGATCTAAAATCGACACCCTATTGTCAAAATGGAAAGAGCTAGAGGAGCAAGATCAAAAAAACTCAAAAGCTAGCGGAAGACAAGAAATAACCAAGATCAGAACAGAAATGAAGGAGACAGAGACACAACTCTTCAAAAAATCAATAAATCCAAGAGCAGATTTTTTGAAAAGATCAACAAAATAGACCACCAGCCAGATTAATAGAAAAGAGAGAATAACCAAATAGATGCAATAAAAAATGATAAAGGGGATATCACCACAGATTCCACAGAAATACAAACCACCATCAGAGATTATTACAAACAACTCTATGAACATACACTAGCAAACCTGAAAGAAATTGATAAACTCCTGGACACTTGCATCCTCCCAAGTCTGAAGGAGGAGGAAGAAGTTGAAACCCTGAATAGACGAACAACAAGGGCTGAAGTTGAGGCAGCAATTAATAGCCTACTAAACAAAAAAAGCCCAGGTCCAGATGGGTTCACAGCCGAATTGCACCTACAAAGAGGACCTGGTACCACTCCTTCTGAAACTATTCTAAACAATCCAAAAAGAGGGAATCCTCCCCAAATCATTTTATGAGACCAGCATCATCCTGATACCAAAACCCAGCAGAGACTCAACAAGAAAACTTCAGGCCGATATCCATGATGAACACAGATGCAAAAATCTTGAATAAAATACTGGCAAACTGATTACAACAGCACATCAAAAAGCTTATCCACCACAATCAAGTAGGCTTCATCCCGAGAATGCAAGGCTGGTTCAACATACACAAGTCTTTAAACGTTAACTCACCACATAAACAGAACCAAAAACAAAAACCACAATTATCTCAATAGATGCAGAGAAGGCCTTTGAAAAAATTCAACAGCGCTTTATGCTAAAAACACTTAATAAACTAGGTATTGGTGGAACGTATCCCAAAATAATAAAAGCTATTTATGACAAACCCACAGCCAATATCATACTGAATGGGCAAACTGGAAGCATTCCCTTTGAAATCTGGCACAAGACAAGGATGCCCTCTCTCACCACTCGTATTCAATATAGTATTGGAAATTCTAGCCAGAGCAATCAAGCAAGAAAAAGAAATAAAAGGTATTCAATTAGGAAAGGAGAAAGTCAAATTGTCTCCATTTGCAGAGGACATAATCGTATATTTAGAAGACCCTAATGTCTCAGCCCAAACTCTCCTAAAACTGATAAGCAACTTCAGCAAAGTCTCAGGATACAAAATCAACGAGCAAAAATCAAAGCCTTCCTAGACACCAATAACAGACTTAAAGAAAGCCAAATCAAGAATGAACTGCCATTCACAATTGCTACAAAGAGAATAAAATACCTAGGAATACAACTAACAAAGGATGTAAAGGACCTCTACAAGGAGAACTACAAACCACTACTCAACAAATTAAGAGAGGATACAAACAAATGGAGAAACATTCCATGCTCATGGTTAGGAAGAATCAATATTGTGAAAATGGCCATACCGCCCAAAGTAATTTACAGATTCAATGCTATCCCCATCAAGCTACCAATGACCTTCTTCACAGAACTGGAAAAAAACCACCTTAAACTTCATATGGAACCAAAAGAGAGCCCACATAGCCAAGTCAATTCTAAGCAAAAAGAACAAAGCTGGAAGCATCACACCACTTGACTTCAAACTATACTTACTACAAGGCTACAGTAATCAAAACAGCATAGTACTGGTACCAAAACAGAGATATAGATCAATGGAACAGAACAGAGGCCTCGGAGGCAATGCCGCACATCTACAACCATCTGATCTTTGACAAACCTCACAAAAACAAGGAATGGGGAAAGGATTCCCTGTTTAATAAATGGTGTTGGGAAAACTGGCTAGCAGTATACAGAAAGCAGAAACTGGACCCCTTCCTGACACCTTACACTAAAATTATCTCCAGATGGATTAAAGACTTAAACATAAGACCTAACACCATAAAACCCCCAGAAGAAAACCTAGGCAAAACCATTCAGGACATAGGCATAAGAAAGGACTTCATGACTAAAACACCAAAGGCACTGGCAAC